TTGACAAAACTATCTGAGAGTAATTTAGCAGGGTCTGGTAAAGTTGAAGATGCCCTCCTAATTTTACTCCCAGGTATGTACTCTAGAGAAATTAACACAATTGCCCAAGGAGATTATCGGCAGGAACACAAACACATGCTTACTGCAGCACAATTTGTAACAGCAAAAACTTACATACTTAAATGCCCATCAGTGAAAGAATGGATACATAAATAGCATGCAACAAATACTCTATAGCAGGGAGAAAAAACGCCCTCCAGTGCTGACCAAGAACTTGCTGTGATGAAGAAACATTCTATATCTGTGCTGTGTAATACCAGTAGTCACACATGGTTACCGAGCACTTGAAATGTGGCTACTGATCCAAGATCAAGGGCGCCACGCCCCTGCCCCCAAGAAGAAATGTGGCTAGTGAGACTGAGGAACTGAATTTTTTATTTCTCTAATTATTTTTTGGTGACTGGTACAGGGATCGAATCCTGGAACCTGGTGTTATTAGCACCACGCTCTAACCTACTGAGCTATATTTTATTTAATTTTAATTCATTTAATTTGAATAGCCACATGTGGCTAGTGGCTATCATAATGAACAGTGAAGTCCTAGAACTACAAACAAATAGATGGCCTCACAAATATAATGCTGCTCTTAAAAAGCAAATGGCAGCATGCATATACTATGAAATCAATTTTTAACAAGTTAAAAAGCATGCAAAGCACTTCTATATATTGTTTGGAAATAAGTACGTACTCAAATATGTACAAAGAAGATGTAAGAAGAAATGTTTGAGAATGAGACAAAATTGAGGACAATGATTACTTATGTTGGAGAGGGATATACAGGGGACCTCAACCACACTAGTAACGTTTGATGCTTTAGATTGGGTGGTGGGTCCATGGTGATTAGCTGTATCGTTCTTAATTTATGCCAAAAATATTGTATAATAAGTTCTATTGCATTGTTTAGATTTATAAACAAAAGTGATAAAACAGGAAGCAGTTTTGTATCTGCCCCTTCCAGGTGTCTTTTTTAATCCACACAAAAGTACCAGCAAATGTACCTGGGGTTAGCTGGTGAGCGCAAAGGGGTAAGGAACAGGAGAGAACATAGTGAAGGAGCACAGCAATTGGTACAATAGTATTGAAAATGTCTGGGTTTTTAAGTTGGATAGTGTTTTTTTGTTATGTTCCATAACTTGCATTGATGTTGCATGTCTTCTTTTTGTACATCAAATATCACAATAAAAAAAAAATATAGACTGAACTGTGCTGAGATGTTGGGGGGACCACCACTCCCCCAAGCTTCTCTTATCTCTAGAGCCCAGAAACTTTTCCCTTGTGAGGTAGGGCACCACCAGCACACCCATCCCCTACCCGAACTAATTGTCCACCACTTTCTGCAAATTTGCACCCTTCATCTCCCTATTCTGGCTCCTCCACACCCAGTGATTCTAACAATTAGCAGGGTTTTGAACCTCTGCAGCCTGGGGGGTCCAGTCCAGGCAACTCAATGACTTACTCCTAAATATTTCTGGGCAAGTCCCTTGTCTTCTTTGGAATACTGTTCTCTCAGCTCAAATAACCAAAACCATGCGAATCAATGTACTACAAGGTTAATCTGTTTACTATAATTGATCAAAAATTAATTCAATAGGGCCGGCCCGTGGCTCACTCGGCAGAGTGTGGTGCTGATAACACCAAGGCCACGGGTTCGGATCCCATAGAGGGATGGCCGGTTAGTTCACTGGGTGAGCGTGGTGCTGACAACACCAAGTCAAGGGTTAAGATCCCCTCACTGGTCATCTTTAAAAAAAAAAAGAAAGAAAGAAATGTGAGCAACACAGGAGCATGATAGTGGCCTTTTACCCTAAAGGTTTTCCAGAATAATCATAATTTTCACATATTTTATCCCACCATCTTCACAAAACTTCAAATTATTGTAGAAATTCCAAGCAGATTCACCTGGTAAGTCATAGGGTGAGCCTGTGCCCTTACCCACTGTCTGTGATCTTCCCCATCATCTATACCTTCTTCCACAGGTGTGTGACCTTAGGCAGGTCATTTAATTTCTCCTAGCTTCTATGTCAGCTGTAGATTGAAAAAACAGGCCTGGATCCAATACAGTACCTTGCACGCAGTAGGTATTTTGCAATTCAAGAACACTGGCTGTTTTGGAGTGGGGGAAGCCAGAGTGACTCTGCCCCTACATCTGCCTTTTTATTTATCCTGTTTCCTCTGACTGAATACTGATCCCGGCTTCAGTGCTTGGCAAACTTGTCCTTCAAAGGCCAGCTCAAACAACTCTTCTTCCAGGAAACCTTTTTTTCACCCCCCACTTCATTGCTCTCTCCTTTATCTGCTGTGCATCAGTGTCTCCATCAGGCTTGTGCCATGATTCTGATGAAATCTGTCTCACAATTTCTCCTGGGCATCAAAGGAAGCAAACAAACTACTGAGCACCTATCTCTGGGCTAGGCATTTTCCTAGTGCCTTACTTCTCATGATGGCACATGTGCTAAAAAGACCCAGTATCTTCCTAGACTATGTGAAAACCACAAGCTCTGTTTTTTAATGTTTCTAATTTAGGGGCACAATGTGTACTTTGAAGCAAAGGTGGCTTTACAACATTTGGTTGAACCTAAAGGAACAGGGGGAGGGGAAGGGAACCCTAACCAGAAACCTTTCACAGGAAACAGGAAGTGGCTGCTTCCCCACCCCCATCCTGCACTCTCTGAGCATAACCCAACTAGTTATTCTGTACAATTTAGGCAAACAGGCAGAATCTGAATCAAGGAATTTTTGAGTTGAAGATAACTTTGAAATTACAGGGCTGTCTCTGCCAAAATGGAGAAGGCATGTTATTACAAGGTGGCAAAGCCATAACAAAAACCAATTCAGTGCAGTCGTTCCACCACACTCTTGGTGAGGCCGCATGAAGATAAGGTTTGGAATCCCAGGGATTGTCATCAAGAATGCACTGAATTCCTTGCAACTTTAAGGGCTCGGGGTTGGAATTCAAGCCTGAATTGTCCGAGTGTAACAGCTGACTAACAATGTCAGCTGGGGAATATTTTGATACCTTTAAATTCGGCCCCAAGTAGGAAGAAGCTGCATAAAAAACTCTGTGGTTGTAGAGCCCTAAGGAATGGTACATGAAGGCCTCTGAGTGCCTGGCTGGGCTGCCCACATTCTCCTCATAGCAAGATAAAGTGGCTCCCAAAAGAGGTTTCCAGATCCACCCCAGGAGGCACCACCAGAATTGACTCCAGGGAAACTTCCAGCTGTGAAGGGACAACAAAGCTAGGCACTCTCACTATTTGAATGTGAAAAACCCACCTCAATCAGAGAAGACCTTTATGCCATAAAACCCTTCACGGCAAGGCCAAGTGTCACACTTGTAAGAGGGTGTGATTTATATGACAGCATCCACAAAGCTGCTTTTGTATTCCTCCGTTTGTTAACAATTTATCTCCCCCCACCAAACACATGGAGCTATTCAGAAAAAGCTTGACTGGGCCTTAAAAAGAAAGGAAGGAAAAAACGGACCCATGTTTACGCCAAAACACCAATGTTCACTCTGGGTAATTATGGTCCTGTGAGCAGACACTCAAATTAGGGCTTAATAATTCCTCAGTATCACACTTACAGCATCAAACTATTCCAATACAAACACAAAAAGCAAGAGAAAGAAAATCTCCAACATCACTTTTCTGGAGACTCTAAGAGTTCCACTTTTGAGGTTTTCTGCAGTCTTTTATGCGGTTTCTGCACTCTTTAGAATCCCCCCTTTAGAGCAATTTTAACTCAACATTCTGACCAGCTGTTTTTCTTTCTCAACATTTAAATCTACAAAGCAAAGAGTAAATATGGGCTTGGTCATGTCTTTCCTCTCAGTTCAAGAAAACCAATTCTGGCCACTTCATCTTGTTTTCCCCATCAATGATTCCCTTCTTAGATTCCAACACTAGCTACAGAAAGCATCCTCTTCTGATCCCTTTCCCATTCCTTTCTATAAAACAAATTTAATTATTGCACATGATCCAAATAGAGGCTAAGCCCCTAATATAAACTACATTTAGAAAAATATATAAGCCTAGGGCTGGCACATGGCTCACTTGGGAGAGTGTGGTGCTGATAACACCAAGGCCAAGGGTTCGGATCCCTATACAGGGGATCTCACTTGGGAAGAGTCAAGGGTTGAGATCCCCTTATCAGTCCTCTTTAAAAAAAGAAAAAAAAAAGAAAGAAAGAAAAATATATAAGGCTGATAACATTTGTCAACACTGAAGGCTTTTATTTCTTTTTTTTTTTTGGCAGTTGGCCAGTACAGGGATCTGAATAATTGACCTTGGTGTTATAACACCACACTCTCACCAACCGAGCTAACCAGCCAGCCAGAAGGCTTTTCTTATTAAAGATTATTTGGTGAAAGAAAAGAAAGAAAAAAGGCAAAACTTTTTTTAAGAAGCAAAATAAAAGCAATTCAAGTTTAAACTGGCTCCTGCACACATAGGACCTTACTAAATTGTCTACCAATCTGAAAAAAAAGTTTGTACAAAAATAATGGCCTCCACTCAAAACCAGTTTCTCTGATACTACTGCATACACTAGAGGTCAAAACTGGTAGCCCACAGATCAAGTAGGTCTGTCAGGCATATTCTGTTTGGCCTCCACCATATTGATCAGAACAGCATTCAAACCAATTTGAGTAGGCTGCCAGTATTTTTTTTTTTTTTTAATTTGGAACAGAGCACACAAAAATCTGCATTTCTGATTCTCTTGAAAAACCACATCTGGAATTACCGGGTCCACATTTCCTCACGGCGACAGCTGGCTGGCACTAGGCAGCAGCCACCTTCCTTTATATGGGACAAGCACCAGCCCTTCCCCTCCAGACAACTCTACCAGCTTACTTCTGTCATCTGCAATTGTAATTGCCCATCGCCTGCAAGGCCCCAGGGTTTCTGACCTCTGACACCGCCCCCCACCCCTATGACAAGTACCTTTTTGACCATAGTCGTCTCAGATGAATCAAGTTTTGCTCTTTTGGTATCAGGTCCATCTTCTACTCCTTGGCTAACTTTGGCGACTTTAGTTTTCTCCCTAGAGGGTGTGAATCATGCCATCAGAATAAAAAGAACATCACTCGCTCACAGAATAGGATGGTTGTCAGGAGCAAAAGCTTTGGAGTCAGACAGACTTGGGTTCAAATCCCAGTTCTGTTACTGACTACCTGATGAGTCAGTTATCCACTCTGTGGGAATACCAATCCCTGACAGGATTACAGTAAGAAGAGAAATAATACAAATTGCTCAGCACACTGTCCAGCACATAAAAGCTCTCAATAAATGAAAGCAATTATTCTGTAAACATTCTACTTGAATCATGAAATAAATAGCCAAACTTAACTTCTCCCTCTGCTGTGGGCAACTCATGTTAAAATAATCTGGCCTGGCGGCCCGGTGGCGCACTCAGGAGAGTGCGGCGCTTGGGAGTGCGGCAGCGCTCCCGCCGAGGGTTCGGATCCCATATAGAGACCGGTCCGCTCACGGGTTGAGCGTGGTGCAGGCGCAACACCGAGGGTTGCGATCCCGTTGCTGGTCGCGGTACGGGCGCAACACCGAGGGTTGCGATCCCGTTGCTGGTCGCGGTACGGGCGCAACACCGAGGGTTGCGATCCCGTTGCTGGTCGCGGTACGGGCGCAACACCGAGGGTTGCGATCCCGTTGCTGGTCGCGGTACGGGCGCAACACCGAGGGTTGCGATTCCATTACCGGTCACGAAAAAAGACAAAAAGGAAAAAAAAAAAAATCTGACCTGGGCTGGCCCGTGGCTCACTCGGTAGAGTGTGGTGCTGATAACACCAAGGCCGCGGGTTCGGATCCTATATAGGGATGGCCGGTTTGCTCACTGGCTGAGCGTGGTGCTGACAACACCAAGCCAAGGGTTGAGATCCCCTTACCGGTCCTCTTTAAAAAAAAAAAAAATAATAATAATAATAATGATAATCTGGCCTGCTTTTCACAACTATGACTTCTTTATCTATTTATAATGTGCCCAAAGAACTAGATTTTCCTAAAGCCATGAAACACTAGAGTTAGGAAATATATGAAACATGTTATTCCCCCATTTCGATTTTACAGGCAAGAAATTGCAGACCAGAGAAATTTCAGTGATTTGCCTGAGAGGTTGAATAGAAGACAGCAGTTTTAAGTCTCTTGGTAGGAAGCTCCACCCCACCCTACAGGGCCTTCTCTCACTAGCAAGTTGCAGGGTGGAGGGGGTTAGAAACTACAGCCAAGGGCCGGCCCGTGGCTCACTCGGGAGAGTGCGGTGCTGATAACACCAAGGCCACGGGTTCAGATCCCATATAGGGATGGCCGGTTTGCTCACTGGGTGAGCGTGGTGCTGACAACACCAAGTCAAGGGTTAAGATCCCCTTACCGGTCATCTTTAAAAAAAAAAAAAAAGAAAGAAACTACAGCCAAAAAACCCAATTTAGGGCTGGCTGATTAGCTTAGTTGCTTAAAGCGTGGTGCTCATAACACCAAGAGTTAGGGTTTGATCCCTGTACCAGTCAGCCACCACAAAAAAACAAACAAAAAAACAAAACCCACCTCATATAGTTTTATAATACTGTATTATCTACTGTCTTTCATCTAGAAACTATAAGTTCAAAACACTGCAGGTCCCATCATGTGAGAATTACCAAGGTCTGCAGCCTCAAATGTTCAAAATGAGAGAAATAAGGTCTGTTTGTTCCACCAGAGCAGCCTCTGGACTTTGGTTGGAGCTTTTCCAAGGTAGACTCTGATTGAATGTCCCTCCAGAGTTACCCATCTAACTACTGTATACTCGTCTTACTATCTTTCAACCTGAAGAAACACAAGCCCAAGTTGGAGAACAAATGTTTACAATCCAAGCAAGCCTTCTCTGTGAAGAAAATGTGGCTTTAACACCTGAAGTCCAGACTGATCAAATACCCATGGGGTACACTCTGATTCCCTAAAACTCTGCTTGCTTTAGGCTTTAGGTTAGACCATCATGTTGGAGGGTAGGGCATATCTCTTATAATTCTGAACCCAAAATCTATTGTATTCAGTAACTTATTAATGACTTGGTTTCAGAATGTTCCACATATTACAGTAAAATACTTTGCTTAGATGTTTCATTTCCTACCAGTAAATAAAGCTAAATTTTTTTTTTTTTTTTTTTTTTAGATGACCGGTAAGGGGATCTTAACCCTTGACTTGGTGTTGTCAGCACCATGCTCTCCAAGTGAGCTAACCGGCCATCCCTATATGGGATTCGAACCCGTGGCCTTGGTATTATCAGCACCACACTCTCCCGACTGAGCCACGGGCCGGCCCAATAAATTTTGAAAATGTTATGTTCTCCCCTCCTCTCCCAACACTTACTCTACAAACTCATGTTCTCCAAGATTAGCAAATGTGTATCCATGGTAGCCAAAAACATCTCCTGTAAAGAACTTGATGCTATTTTTGTGACAGATCTGGTCAACTTTAACTATGACATCCCTGGAGCAGCAAGTCAGACACACCTGCAGAAAGAAAGAAATTGTCTGGTTATAAGTTCTGCAAACTGTGAATCACTGCCCTGATGTCTAAATAAATCTTAATGAACAAATCTCTCTGGGCATGTTTAAAGCCAGTTTCAAACTGGTACAACAGGTTCTTTGGGTCCTATGCTTAGAAGACAAAAGAAAAGTTGCAGGTTTCAGTGTGTAGAAAATGTAAATTATGAGATCTTCACTTTCTGCAACCAAAACAAAATGTGTTTCGCCAGAAAGTAAAAACCATTTAATGAAGTTGTTTCTACTAATCCATGAACTTATATAAACCACAATTCACAGTTTTCATGAAAAAGGCGTAATAACTTAGCAAGTTATTTCTAAACTATTAAATCCATTAAAATCCAAATAAGTGATATATAGTTAGAAGCAAAACCAGTTTTTCAAATTGACCCAAAGGTCGTGTTTGAATACCAGGGCTTTTTCCCCCCTCTTTTTTTGATTGATATGTAAAGATAAAGAAGATAAACAAGTCCTGTTGAGATTATTTTTCCACAGATTGTGGTGTGAAACTTTATCTGAATTTAAGGACAAAAGAAAAGGTTATAGACCAAGTGACCTTCATTCAGACTTAGACAAAGAATTGGTGGATTCACTCAGTGGAATTATCAATGTTGCTCGGGGGCCTCTAGGTTGTGTTCCAGTAAGTTGAGGTGTTTGACACAGCTAAATTCTACTGTACAAAATACCATCTTTTCGGGAGAACCTTTGTGATCATTGTCAAAAGACAACTTCCAAACTGCACATGCTTTCTCCTCAACAAAAGGACATTTTCATGTGATAGCTCGCTCCTCTTTGCTGTTGTCTAGCAGCCTGCATACTGAAATAACACTCACAGAGAAATGTTTTCCTTTGGTGTTTCAAAGGATGCAGCCACCCAAGGAAAAATCACATCTAAAAGGTAAGAAAGCCACAGGTGAACATGCAACCAATTGATCAAATGGAATCCTATAGAGTCAAAAGTGACTGCAAAACCTGCGAGGACCAGCCAACATGACTCAAGAGGCAGTCATCCTTGCCCCATGCCCAGGAATTATACAATCAACTGACCCCGTGCTTCAGTTTTCATAAACCTTCTCTCTAATTCTACAAGTTCAAGGGACATGTAGAATAAACCAAATGTGGTTACCATGGATAAGGAAATGAAGAGAAGACTTAAGTCCAAATGGAAAGTGTCTCAATACCTGGAGTTACAAAATAGAGGGAATTGGAAAAAAAAGACAAATACACAGATGATTCACCATTCCAAGCCCATATCTGAACAGATGCACATATGAAATACAATAGCGTGAAAAACAAACTACCCAAGAGAAATTCTAACCTCTCATGTAGTAGACCTTTCACTTAAAAAACAAGCAGCTCACGTGTGACTATTTCATTGTTATCCAAGATTTGTTAAATTTCAGGGTATAAAGGACTACCTCTGAAAGGTCACAGACACTGATGCGGAATTCAATGTATCTTTTCACCTCTGCATAGACTTGGCAGTGAAACCAAATGAAGTTGGATATGCCTCATTTGGCTTATGATTTTGTCTAGTTATCCATGGCAACATGGTCAAAATGACTGCAAAAAAGACACACACATGGGCCGGCCCGGTGGCGCACTGGATGGTGCGCCGCTTGGGAAGCGCGGCGGCGCTCCCGTCCGAGGGTTCGGATCCCACATACAGACCGGCTCCCGCTCACTGGCTGAGCGAGGCGCGGGAGCAACACCGAGGCTTGCGATCCCGTTGCCGGACACGGAAAAAAAAAAAAAAAAAAAAAAAAAAAAAAAAAAAAAAAAAGACACACACATATAAACCAAGATCAGGTGCACTCTTTCATAAGATGAAACACAAGCTGTAGTTTGATATTTCTAACAAAAAAATGCCTCTGTTGGGCCAACCCTGTGGCGAACTCAGGAGAGTGTGCGCAGCAGCACTCCCGCCCCGAGTTCGGATCCTATATAGGGATGGCCGGTGCGCTCACGCGCGGCGGGTCACAAAAAAAAAGAAAAGAAAAGAAAAATGCCTCTGTCACAGAAATTAATCACTAACTTGCTAAATTTTTGAGAGAAAACATTTGCAATAAAATGTATCAAACCTATGTGCAAAGATTCTGGATAGAAGACAAAACACCAATGATGAAACCTGGTCTAAGGGAACATATGCCCAGAGAATAAACCATGAGACAGCAAATCACAAACAGCCTCAGCAGATCCAACAGACTGGACCTATCTTGCAACACATGCATACAATATACTAAGCCTAAAGAGCAGAACATCTTATAAATTTACTTGGGAAAAAGTTCAGAGTTTGAGATTCAAATGCTCTAGTATATCTTGTATACATATAACTTTAATTTGCTTAATTCCCACAGCAGATTTTACACTCTTTAAGAAACTTACAGCATCAAACTGAGTGAAAAATGACTCAGCTTTCTTCTCTATATCCTCAGTGTCCACCTTTACATCCACCATTGGATTGAGATTCTGGGCTCGCTCCAAAGAGGCTTCGGCTCTATTTCGGCCAATGGACCCAGTACGAATCAGGAACTGAGCTCCGGGATCTTCTGGAGATACCTAGGAATAATTTTTTTTTTTAAATTCTTTAATTTTTTTTGGAAAACAAACCTCAAAGACAATGAATCTTTCTATTTTAAAGGATAACTAAAATATCTACCATCTAATTGTATTATAGTTCCTACAGCAATTTGACTAATACAGAATCCCTACTAGCTTTCCTTCTGAATCTCTAAAATAGAACATTTAACTTTTTTTACTGGTCATTGATGGTTAACGAGCACCCCCTTGTGTTTATAAAGAAAATTCACCCTAAACAGAAAAGTCCATGCTTTCTTCTTCTACTAAAATTTGTAACTACTAACAAAATGTCTGACTACCAGTGGTAAGAATTGACTAAACACCTACCATGTGCACAACCCTAAGCATTCAGGGAAATAGTACATTAAGTTGTTTAAAGAATCTAGTCTTTGTCTACAAGTGGCTTAAAATCAGACCAGTGCAAAAAATCAAACACAATTAAGCATGCTTGAAATGAACTCTTTTAATTGAACTCAGAAAGGAGGAGATGAGTGGGGGCTAGAGAGAAGGAATGACTTTACCCATAAGGTTGGGTGTTAGATGAGCAGAGCCTCAAAGACAGATTCCATACTACTCACAAAGCATTTCCTTGCACAAAACATCTAATTTAACCATTAGTCTCTCTGCAAATGACCTCACCATCTTCACCAAAACTAGGTTCAATAGAAGTAATCTCCCCTCATCTCTTCCTACCATCTTTCCACAGTACTTCCTCATTATCTCTCCTCCAAGAAAATTAGCTGGCCCTCCTCCCATTCCAGGCCAACCCTCCGGTGTATCCTTGACTCATCCCGTCCTGCTTCTACTTCTTCAGGATCTCATTATATACTGAGAGGATGCACATCACAGTGATTAAGAGCAAGGGCTCTGGAATAATTCAGGCTAGATTAAAATCTTTGATTCAAATCCAGTTCAATGATTTACTGTGTGACTTTGAACAAGTATTTGGGAATCACATGTAAAAAGAGGATGTTAACAAAAACACACATTGACTAATCACTCTATCAATGTTAGTTATTATTACTATCAGTACAACCAAAAAATTAAAAAATTAAAAATAAATGGAAAAAAAGAAAAAGAAAAACTAATATTACTATCAGTCCACAGATCACACCTTCCTTGCGATGCTCTCCTCCTCTCTTGCAACATATTTCAGTCTCTTTATGGGCCCTCTTAGGTGTGATCCCGCCTCCCAAAACTTTGGGTCTCGCAGTCTAAAAACAAAACTGATTGTTATATTCCATTTCTACCATGTCTTTGAGTACCTTTGTCCCATTGCTAATGTCCCCTGCCTAAAACAAAGCCCCTCAGCTTGATAAACCCTTCCTTGTTTTCAGCTCAGGTTGGAACTTCAGGAAATCTTTTATGTCTCCCTACCACAACCTGAGTCAGGAAGCCTGCTCTGATTTCTGAAAAAAAGCTTGAGAATGTGAACCAAACCTTGAACATCTTTATATCCCCAGCACCTAGAAGACTTCAGGGTACTTGGCAGGTGCTCTCAGATTCTTGTTGAATATAAACTAAACAAAAAGCTCTAAGGAGCAGGCATTAACATTCTCATTTTATTTATTTTTTCAGCTGGCTGGTATGGGGATCCAAACCCGTGATCCTGGGGTTATAAGGCTGCACTCTAACCAGCTGAGCTAATTGGCCAGCCTAACCTTCTCATTTTAGAGATGAGCAAACTGATCTGTGTTAGGTTAAGCCCCTTGTCCAGCTTGAGGAGCTGGGACTGCTTGATTCCAAAGCCTTTGCGCTATGCAGCACTGCCTCCCCCTAGGGTGTTCTTAGTCAGGGAAAGAGCACAAGCAAATTGCAAAGGGGAGAAAAAACATACCGTGTTCAGGAATTTAAATTTATCTGACGAGAGTTGAGTTGGGTAAGTTGACTGGGACCAGATTATATGAAGCCAGTGGTTTTCAGCCCTCCCTGACTGTTAAGATTTACCTGGATGGGCCGACCCATGGCGCACTTGGGAGAGTGCGGTGCTGGGAGCGCAGTGACGCTCCCGCCGCGGGTTCGGATCCTATATAGGAATGGCCGGTGCGCTCACTGGCTGAGCGTGGTGCAGATGACACCCAAGGGTTGCGATCCCCTTACCGGTCACGAAAAAGACAAAAAAAAAAAAGATTTACCTGGAGAACTTCCCTCCCCCGCCCCAAGACTAGTCACGTGCAGTAGTGAGAAGGGGGAAAGAGTAGAATGAGGAATTCAATTTACAGGATAGCTGGTTAGCTCAGTTGGTTACAGCGCAGTGTCGTAACACGAAGGTCAAGCATTAGGATCCCCATACCAGCCAGCCACTGGGAGAGAAAAAAAAAAGGAGTTTGATTCTGTAACTGACTGTGAACAATTAATTGAGAGAACTCACTGCCTTCAGACCAGTCAAGAACTTTTATTTTTATTATTTTTATTTTATTTTTTTTAAAAGATGACTGGTAGGGGGATCTTAACCCTTGGCTTGTTGTTGTCAGCACCACGCTCAGCCAGTGAGCTAACCGGCCATCCCTATATAGGATCTGAACCTGTGGCCTTGGTGTTACCAGCACCGCACTCTCCCGAGTGAGCCATGGGCCGGCCCTAAGAACTTTTATTTTTAAATAACTTCCCAGATATTCTAAAGTGCAGCTGGGGCTGAGAACCACCATGTTAGGCAGGTGGAAGGCAGCATCAGTCCTCCAAGTGAAGAGGTAAGGGATGACAATGAGCCTGTTCACTCCCAACATTGAGCAGCATTCATCACAGTACTGATGTAATGTCAGAACCACATTGTGCACCTATCGTTATGATCATCCCCCCATTCTTGGACTCCTGCAACCAGATGAGAAAGTCACCATCCCCATGTGGTTTCATTTTCCATACGAAGGGTTTCCGTGGTTAGACATCATTCTTCCTTAGGTTTCTACTCTTACCCTCTCTACACTGCAAACAAGTTCTCCATCTAGATGGGGTGTTCCTGCCCATAGAGGGCACTGTGGTTGGAGAGATGTCAAATCAGCCAGTGCTCAGACCATTAATAACCTGGCAGCTTGCTTACAGAAAATTTTTTTCTCAGGTTTTTAAAATCAATTCAAAAACCAATTTGTGGCTGTGATATTAAGTGAGCCAATCCATGTTTCTCTTCATAATGCAGGAGAATATTTTTAAAAATAACAATCCCAGGTATTATTTTTCTCCTGAACACTCTAACAAGGTGAGCTTTTAAAAATTTCATTAAAATTTACTTTTGTCAGGGCTGGCCCGTGGCTCACTCAGGAGAGTGTGGTGCTGATAACACCAAGGCTATGTGTTCGGATCCCTATATAGGGATGGCCGGTTGCTCACTTCAGAGAGCGTGGTGCTGACAACACCAAGTCAAGGGTTGAGATCCCCTTACCGGTCATCTTTTAAAAAAAAAAAGAAATGTAGGCCCTGGACAAAAGTAAATTTTTTTTTTTAAAAG